GGTGTAGTTACCAACGGTTCGAAGATCCTTCGACGAGAACTCCCTGGAGACGCAGGGTTGATTAGTATTGTAGAGCTTTGGCAGAGCTTGGGGTATAGAAGTGGCAGCTTACTCCAATAACTCATGGTATGATTTGGCGAGCTATAGCGCCGTGACGCAAACGCCAAAGTCAGCAACTTTCATTTCAGCAGCACCATAGGGCGGAAACAAGCAGCATTCCAAACGCAGGGATTTATGAGAGGGAAAACATCAGGGCATACGAGAGACAGCGTAATGACAGGGTTGGCAATAACTACAGCCAGTTGACATGGTATGGCCCAATAGAGTTTGAATGTGGGGTCTCATGAAGATGCGAGCCTTAGGTTGACCGTTTTATGATGCGTCCAAATATCAATGCCTTAAGACGAACCTTTTCCTTTTGTTTCTGGGATTGAACCTCCGCTCTTGTCCTGGCCGACGGCATGTGTTATGAGATCGTCTCCGCCTAATTTGGAGATTCCCGCGGAGATGATGTATGCGCACGATGGGCCGTTATGACGAAAGACGATCACGACGATGACCGCTTGACACTGACATCCAACCTAAGGCGGGATAGGGGACGAGTATTGTGATCAGGGGGTCGAATGGAGACGAAGGACGAAGAAGTGTAGCAAAACAAGGAGTTTAATGCGATGGATGGCGGCGCGCAAGATGGCTGGCAGATTGCGGATCGCATAGACGGACGGACCGGGTAAAATGGAATCGAGATTGTTTAACTGTTAGGGAATCCGGCTATAACTCGTTCAAGTCACCGCAAAGGAGTAGAGACGACTCGCAGAGGGATGTAAGAAGGACGCAGAAAAATTCCCTGGTCCGAAGCGGAATTTCGGGCCCAACAGGGCGACGTGGAGGTGGAGGAGGATGAACGGAACGGCAGCTGTTTGTGGAAAAGGATCGGAAGGAGGTCGGAAATGACTTGAAGATGAGAAGCTCAGATATTAGTATTAGTAAACAGACCGAAATATATTATCAAGATGGAAAGAGAAGGAGATTCTGTATAAAGACAAGAGGGGGAAAATTGGTCAAGAAAGGAGAAGCTAGCAATACATACCTATATCTATTGGATCTGCCGGAGAATAATATGATGAAACAAGAAGTTGGGTTGTTTCGAGTGTCAACGGACAACCTGATTATTCTGCATCGGCTTGGACAATGACTATGACTATTATTATTATGATTTTCTTATCCTTCTGATTATCTAGCCAACAGGGGGCCATCTGGAGGTATGTACCTTAATTATTATGACGATGACGATGAACCAGGGGAACTGTTATTTGCTTTTTAAAGAATCTATGGACATAATTGCCTACTGCATACGGGCTGTACGCACAATTTCACAACAAGTCAAATTGTTCGACAATCCATTATTATTTATTCATTATGAACCACTGACAGCCAGTAAAAAGGACAAACGGACCATGATACTCATTTGCAGGTGGGAACGTGCGCCGTTTCGACTTTCGAGTCTTTCGGCATCGACATCATCGTCATCAACAACCCAATATCGATCACCCGAGGAGTTTGAGCGCCTCATACACGAGGATTCCTTACAGGAGCGGTCTGATCTTCACTTTACGTCTACGTATCTGGTATAGCATGTTAATTCCTTGACTATACTGATATCATCACTGAGTAAGTGGCTCTCAGTGCTACTCGTGTGGTCGATAGACGAGCCCCTGAATGGCAGATAGATAAATTACGATGACGACGGCTCCCGGCCAGTTCTAACGGTGGGTGACATGGGCCACCCGTTTTCTAGAACACTTCCTAGCCTCCAGACACGGGAAGTGCTCGCTTGCGTTTTGAACTATCGAATGATTAGATTTTATTGCATGAGTAAATTGCACGAGCAATCTAAACTCATCTCTTTCAAGATAAGCGGGAGCTGCGTATTGCTCCGAAGTGTCATGGAATGAAAATCAACGATTGGGGTATAAATTGGCAAGACTTCTAGCCCAGCCTACGACCTTGGATAATACGAACAGCGTGCTATTTTGGATATCCATCCACCGTAATTTAGAGCATCAATTCGTCTCTTGCCACCAGGGAAGACTTTCCATGTGTTGAGCTGCCCGGTGGCTGGCGCATAATGCAGGATCTACACTGCTCAGGCCCTCTTCTCCTTGAAATGCGAGAGATACCAGCCCGGCAAACGAGTGTAGAAGATCTTTCATTGACCGTCAGAACAAACCCTTCCTTCTATGTTGTAGGATCTGAGATCTCACCTGGAGGCTCACCAATGCCTTTCCCAAACCCGCCGATAATGTGCTGTGTCTTCTCGAGCAGATATTGCCGGTTGCGCTGCTGGTCGATAAGAGATAGTCGGTCCATCATCTAGTCCTATTAGTAGCGTTCAACATGGCAAGATCGGTAAATACTTACTACGAGCGTACCCGCGTTCCAAAGCGAGTAACATGTATCCGCATATTTGTTGCATCGCCCATTGAAACCTGCCCAGTGCAGAGATTCTTCTGCTGGCGGGGGTAGATTAGGAAGCAAGGCAATCTTCTCATCAAGACTGAGATTGTTTGTATCACGTTGTAACCCATCACTCCGGTCAGGTGGGCAATCGTCTTCCTCGTCCGACTCCTCGTCTTCACCCAAATCGGACGTCTGTCTAGAGACGAGCCATTTGAGCAAATCTTTGAATTCCCGACTCCCGGGAGAAAGGAGCGCCATGTGTCCCTGGTCTTCGGAAATACGGCAAAGGAAGGTTAGAGCGCCAATGGCACAATAGGTCAGACCAGCTGTCTTCAGTCAAAATCAGTTCCTTATGGCAGGGTCCATTGCACATACAGTGGGATTCACAAAAGGGCGCTTCCGACATTCCCCCGTCATATGTCTATCAGATCCAAGTATCAGCATCCGCAGGCACAACCCAACACCTAAGAGTCTTCGAACCTGGCAAGCCTGAATGAACTCCACGAGCCTGCCCACATCAATATCGCTCACACCCTCAAGGCCTCTCCCGCTCCTCCCTCGAAGAATGTATCGCGTCCCAGCTGCGCAGCAGCAGAACCGCAAGTCGCGACCACCCTTGACCTCTCCACCGGGGCCGAGCACTTCTCCGAAACTGCCATCCTCACGTTGAAGTTTGGGCAACCATTGCAGACATTCGATCCGCTTCACCCTCGACAGGTCATCGCCCAGTATAAGCAGCAATACCAGCGCAAAGAATGTGGCCGGGACATTCGCCGGGTCCCAAGCGTCGTTCTCCGGAGTGCGCTTGTCAATTCCAAAATCTGTCCCCGTGAACCCGCGGAAACCCCCCGATGGAACCTGGCAGTGATAAAGCCAGTCTATGTAGCCTTTTCGTTCTTCGGCGGTGATTTTGCTGTCGAGCGCGCCTAGGATGTCCAGTCCGGAGATCGTGAAGAAAGCGAGGAGCATGCGATTGGAGTCATTGGAGGTGTATTGGTGGGGGAGGAATGTCTTGAGACAGCGGAGGTAGTATTTGATGTGACGTTCCTTGTTGAAGACTGCCTCTGTCATGTTGCTGGACTTGACAATGTCGCATCTGCTTGCCCGCGTCAAATCAAGGGTAAAGCTAAGAACAAGCAAAGGAGTGAGTCCCTTGAGTCCGTGGCTATGAATTGCGGCTTCATTGTTATCATTATTATTTTGCGGGCGGGCTCCGGACTTAACAGCGGCAACCCCACAAGATGGATCCAGACATCGGAGGAAAAAAGTAGCGGAAGCTACGGTACAAAGTCGAGAACATGTACGATAAGTATCGATAGCTCTCAAGTCTATACGCAGCCGTTGCTGTGACTTGTATATAGAATATTATCTTTTTCATATCTCCTCTATCCTCATCTAACATGGCTCTTCTCTCCTCCAAGACGCTCATTCAGGCACACGCCCTGTTTCTGTTTGCTCTGGCCGTGTACCTGACCAGATCCCCAAGCACAGTCACCGAATCAGATGTTGTCTTCATGATAGGGGAAGTGCTACAGATCGTACGTCCGAGGATTCTCTAATCTCATTTCAGCCCAAGCCCTGCCTCATCAAACTTCGAACTGACAGCTCCACGACACCAACAGGATGCAGCCCCGTCCTTTTCACGTCCTCAATCCCCCTTCGCGCTATGCGGCATCCTCCTCATCGCCGACGCCCTCGTCGACCTGATCATCGTCGCCAAAATCCCACGGGTCAATGAGCTCGTCGCCATGGCCCAAGCGGCCAGGAGCCAATCTGCCAGACCCATGTCCAGCGCGATGCAGAACCCCTTCGCAGCGCGCCTCGCCGCACTCTACTCGGAGATCTGGACTTTGCTTTCGGCAGCCCGGTTCTGTCTGTTCTTTGCCGTCTCGTTTTTCATCTACCAGAGTAAACCGGATGCTTGGGGGGTGGGTGCGGGTGCCGCGCGCAGCACAGGAGGGTATGGGTCCGTAGAGGCGACGTCGGGCTTGGACCAGCTGAAGAATAGGGTTGTATTTACGTATGGGTTTATGGAGATGATGTTCTGGCTTTGGGTAAGTCTTGTCCGCCTGCTGGCCACGCTGGTTGTGGAAGTCTTCATTGAGTTGTGCTGATGCGTGGTAGATCTTCATCACTCTCCGCGAAGAGCGGCAGGAAATAGCTGCTCGTTTCGTGGAGCGAGAAGAATAGACGGCGGTATTCCCTTCTTTGGTTGATGCGCATTGGGTCCAGGCGTTGCACATAATCTACAGAGCACCATATACGGAAGAATGACGATGAATTCTTCGATCGCCCAGCAATTACGATATAATACAGCGAAAACTCCTGTTCGCGGACTATTAAGCTAGTATATGCGTTCAAAGCAGAACAGATCTCAAGATCCTATCAAAGTCACAAGACAAGTTAAGCTTTGCGGAAATTGGGTCACAATATGAGCACTTGTTGCCATATGCACTTCTTTTTCCCATAAACCGTTCGGCTCGTGTTTGTATTGGTCAAGAATGACAGACAGTCCAGCCATGACGCGAATCCCATGAACCCTAAGCGAGCAAGCCGAAAGCCGCAAGCGCAGCACCGGCAAGGGCAATGAGACCAGTGTCCTTGTGCTGAGCAACGGCAGCCCCGGTACTGCTGTTGGTAGCCGAAGCAGCAGACGAGGTCGCGGAGCCAGTGGTAGAACTGGTTGTGGTAGAAGTGGTTGCAGTTGCAGCGGTCTGGGAGGCGTTGGACTCGGTGGAAGAACTAGAAGTGCTTGTAGAGGATCCAGAGGGCGTGCCAGTGGCAGATTGGGTTGCGTTTGCGCAGCTGGGAGACTGAGGCATGTTGGTTACGCCGGCGGTTCTGCATATCCGGTTCGCAAACTCGACGGCGGCTGCGGGAAAGAATGGGTGAGCGTCTTCTGCAGTACAACGTAGATGAGGAGAATCAAGGGTCATGTGTAGGCATGCAGAGTGCCGCAAACAGCGAGAACGAGAACTTACCCTGCTGCTGGTCCGCAGCGCATGATTGGAGAACGCAGCACGAAATACCCGAAATGAAGGACGAGTCGGTGCAGATGCACTTCACGTCAAAACCGCACCTGGCGGGGATGGAATTCGTAGCGCATGATTTCTATCTCAGGTCATCAGTAATGCGTACCAATCACTCTGCACAGAAGAAACAACTCTGTAGCATTGTGAACACATAAATGAGAGGCGACGCTTACAGCACAATCCGGCAGACCGTCAAGGCCCTGGGCAGCTGCCATGCTGAGGCAAGCCGCAAGAGCAAGGGAGACAGAGAAAAGCTTCATTATGAGGATTTGGCTAAGATGCTCGATTGATTGAAATCGTGCTAGGAACGTAGGATCATGTATCTCAGGATAGGCTTAAGAGTAAGATCTGTTGGGAGAAGAAGGTGTAGAAGCGTGGGTGAGGGGACAAGGGTCAGAAAGAGTGGAAACAAGATGGAGTGGTAACTGGCGCGACGATCTTGCAGTAGACTGATGAATGCACAGCCTATCTAGTATGCAGCGAATAATAATCATGCCTTGGAAGGGATGTGTGGTACCTCTCTGATGGTTAGTTTATATTCTAGTTTCTTCCAGGTTTCCATTGCTTTCCCCACTTCAGCTCGATTGATTAAGCCTACGTAGTCGAATTGAACTACTAGATGATAACTGTTCTAGAGTATAGACTCCTCGTTGTTAATCATGGCTATCTGAGTTATCCTTATGGTCGTTAATCTGCAAAAATTAGAAGTGGATATGTAGCTTTCGCATACTTTTTGTTGTTTCTCCGAAGGATCATTTATGGCGCTGGAACATGGTTTCTACAGTACCTTCCTTGTATGAGACACGGGCCAGCTCTTTGGGAGAGGATTTATTGGCAGATTAGTTGCTAATATCAGCCTATGATGAGAAACACACTCAGAATCCTGTAAAAGACCGTCACTTAGGAGCTACCTACTCCCCTTGAGTGTTCCAATGTTATGACCCCATCCTCCTGCACGGGAACCCTGGCTCGTCATGGTTATCATGAACTAGTCCGTCAGCTCGACCCCACCGGCCGCCTATTTTGCTCAAAAATCTGGCCCATCCCCGGATTCTGCTTAGCCGTCAGCCTATCAGGACAGCCGTGAAATCAACTAGCCTGGACTCCTGGACTCCCTGGAGGCTGGAGCCACCAAGCCCGAGGTTTCTCCCTCTCCCAGACTTCCCAGTTGCTCCACCCGAAATTGTCACCAGTCTCAGACCCTTTCCCCTCCGTCCTTGACCATCTGACTAGGAAACATTCGATAGACTACCAGATTCTTATAGCAACTCTTGGCAAAGGATGCAATGAATTGCTATCATCGCCTCGTCAAGGCTCAAGTCAAATGTCTTTAGGCGCATTACTTTGCTTTACCAGTCCACAGTACCCTTTCTGATGGTCATCGCTGAACTCATAGCTGCAGGGGTCCATACTTGGTCTTCACTCAACATGTAAAACCTGTAGATACTGGTATCTCGGAGTATCCCAGCGTACCTTACATTGACCATCCGTCCAGTAGGTACGAAGAATTTTGGCTTCCTGCAGAGGAATGCTGCGCCACCTCCCAACAGGCATTGATCCATGACACCTGGGAAGGGTATATAGAGTACGGTGGCGTAGAGACCTTGACTCCGGGTATCAAATATCGATATTGAGAAGTAACCATAAGGTACAGCAAAAACGAGCAGGCAATACTGAAGTTCTGCGTTGGTCACTATGGCTGGGCAAAGAAAGTCTGTGTCAAGTAATCCTGCGCAAGCTCTGTAAACAGCCGTGACCACAAATTCAGTCCCTCATGTCCCTGCCGATCGACACTGCAGAGGATTCACTGGCGTTTTGTCTTTTATAAGGATCAATAATTCATAAATGCAGCCTTCTCGTGTGACGTAGAGCGCGTCACACTCGCAATTTTAAGATAGACAGCTTAGGCTTTTACTCTCGCCTCGGCAGAAATCTCGCATTCGTCAACCGAACTCCTTACTCTACAATTTCAGTCATTATTATAATGAGTATCACAACGACTGTTGGTCGCTGATCCAAGCCTCTAGTCAGGCACAAGCCCGTGTTACCTCCGTAATTTTATCTACTTATTTGTTCGCCCCGCCACAAGCCAGTGAGCATTGCTTTGGTTGACATACCTTCGGCCCCTCACTCCCTGTCAATATGGGTCTAGGTGTGCTCGAGGACAAGGTACTCGACCATGTCCCTGGTAAGTTCCGGTCTCTGGTCTACATCTTTACAGAAAGACTTGTACAGTCGGAACCACTGTTTTTGATACATTTTGGCTAGGCACATCCTATATCCTCGAAGATCAGACGAATGATCATACCGTTCTCGATTCGCGCCTCAAGTACGATCGCTCTGGCGACGTTCCTACACTTCTAGTACCACAGCCAAGCGATGACCCCAACGATCCTCTGGTAGGTAAAAATAGGTACAATTGTTGAAGCTCGATACTGAGAACCGCCTGTAGAATTGGCCGTTATGGTGGCGCGATGTAATCCTATTCGCGCTTTGCTTCGTTTCAGTCCTCTGTGCAACAACTAGCTCGCTCATGGCCGCCAACACTGTGACCATTGCTCTTCACTATGGGAAGAGTTTCACGTCCGTTGCTCTCCTCACTGGCTACCACCTCTGTGGTGTAGGTGTCGCTGGTGTGCTAATCGTACCGACTGCACGAGTATGGGGCAAGCGCCATCTTTTCATCCTTGGAAATATCCTGATGGTCGTGAGCTGCGCATGGGCTGGGGGAAGTGGCCAGCATTATCAGAGCCTTCTTTGGGCCCGAATCTTCCAAGGAGTCGCACTGGCGCCATTCGAAGCTTTGACAAATGCCTGTGTTGGTGATCTCTTCTTTGTCCATGTAGGTTCCCTCCGCGCTACCTCATGGATTTCGTCTGACCATTACGCCAGGAACGGGGCAAGCGGATGGCCTTATCGAATGTTGCCGTCTTCGGCGCGGCCTTCCTCACACCGGTTTTGGCTGGCAAGATTACGCATTCGCTTAGTTGGCAATGGACGTTTTACCTAGTGGCGATCTTTACCGCTGCTTGTCTGCCCATGACATTCTTCCTAATACCCGAGACGGCCTTCAGACGCGCCGACCATTTCAACACAGACTTTGAGCATGTCGACGACCGCCTTGATGGAAGCCAGTCACATACGCAACTGCAGCCCACCGGATATGCGACTTCTGAAGTGAGCCAAATCTCTGGAGAGCAGAAGCAATCCGTTTTTGGGACCAACGAGAAGCCGCAAGGGGAATCCTCTCGAGGAGAAGATGGCGCCGGTCAGGAACCTACGACTCCTCGCAAGGCCACGTACTGGGCAACTCTGAAGCTATTCAATGGACGGAAGACAGACGAGGACTTTTTCAAACTGCTTCTGAGACCATTTCCCCTATTCTTCCATCCTGGCATCCTCTGGGTAAGTCCTTTCCTCTCCCACAATTCATATGTGACGGCTATTTCTGACTGCCACAGGCTTGCTTGATACAAGGTGTTATCATTGGCTGGACTGTCTTCATCGGGGTTGTCCTGGCTGCCATCTTCCTGGGCCCTCCTCTATGGTTCAACGAGGTGCAGACAGGATATCTCTACACGGGCGCCTTTATCGGCTCTATCTTAGGCCTGATACTGTCTGGCATCTTGTCAGATTCGTTGAACAAGGTCATGATTAAACTCAACAAGGGCAAATACGAGCCAGAGTTCCGTATTTTACTAGTTATCTTCCAACTGATCTTCAGCGGCGCTGGTCTCTACGGGTTTGGGATCGTGGCAGAGGACGTGGGCCGATATGGATGGCTTGTGCCGGACGTCTTCTTTGCTTTTGTCATCATTGGAATGGTCATGGGTGCCGTCGCGAGCGCCTTGTACATTGTCGATGCACATCGTGAGTTGAAACTTCCATACGATAAAGCATGTGGAAAGTGTTGCTGATGACGTTTGATACAGGTCAAATCGCCGTTGAAGCGTTCACGTGCTTATTGATCTTCAAGAACATATTCAGTTTCGTTCTGACATTTTTCGCATATGACTGGCTTATAAGAAATGGGATCAGACCGGCATTTCTAGCTATCTCCAGTATCCAGGTGGGCGTCTGTCTCTTGAGCATTCCCATGTGTGAGTATTCCTTTTCCAGTTACTCGAAGCTTTTGCATCTGCAGCTAACTAAACCACTCAGATATTTTCGGGAAACGAAATCGGTCATTCTTCACGCGTTACAACATTTTGAAGAAGCTGCATCTGTGGTAATCCTTGGCGGATGATTTACGATAGAACGGGATCAATGCCTGCGCAATGTCGTTTTATTATAACACCCTAATGAGTCGCCATGTGCGCGCACTACACTAATTTTAATTTCTCAATCTGAAGCCTTGTTACGGTTATTATGAGCACTCTGGATCATGTGTAAAATAAGCACTCGAACGAAAAGCGGCGTGTATCTGAATCTATGCTTCAATCGAGCGGATTCGTTTGTGACATTGACGTAGATCAGACTAGTTAAGTCGGGAGACTGCCAAAAATGAAAGATAGTGGAGACGATCCATCTGCAGGGACGTCTCTTAGATATAGAATAATAGAACACTAGTGAGATCTTCGTTATGGTTGAAAACGGAAGAGAGCCGAGACTGGAATGTGAACGTGGGATGGAAGCATCATGACTCGACCGCGAGAGACAGCGTCGACACAACCAGCCTGAGCTGAAGAGAGTGTAACACTCTGAGCTCTGTTCTTCTTCACTTTCTAGACTTCATCGTAAATCAAATTCAATTATCACGTCGACATCATGACATCAGCGAGGTGAGATATCGACGAAGCTCAATGCTTGATCGATGATCGTTGAGAGGTAACATCCGTGGATTTGCCCTCTGCAACCGACGTCACAGACGACACTCGTTGCTCGACTTTCTTCCCTCAAGCTTCCGGCTGGTTCATCCCACTGGTCGTCACCACTATTATCTCTGCCACCGACCGTAACCACTTTTTTTTCTTTTCATCATCTTCTCCCCTTCCTTCCTTTCTTCCTTTTCCTTTGACTTGCTTCCATCGGGAATGCCTGTATCCGCCGTCCTTTCATACTCCCCGCATCACGGCGCAGACCTTATCTTATCATGGCTACTACTGAGTCTCATCCTGGAGTCCATAGCGTCTCCATCCAGCGTTCCCGGTCTGCCCGGCTAGCTGATCAAGGTAAGTCCTGGATGAATATCATGCACTTTCGTTTGACGAAGAATTATTTCGCTGACTCGATTATTCGGCAGCTGCGACAGCTGCACTCTATGTGACACACCCCGAACGTAGACTGTCCGTTCGGGAACCCGCTACCTTTGAATCGCAACTATTCAGTGAGGAATAACCGCCGGATCTCCGGAGATGATCTTACAATGTCGAAATATTGTGACTGACGCCATGATTTTCATATGACAGGAGATCCGAAAGCCACGGGCTCGCTCAACCTCAGCCATGCATCAGCGAGCGCTGCTCTTGCCCACGCGAGGAGTCATCACAAAAACTTAACAACTGACAGGCCCGGCGCAGTAGGATATCAAACTCAGGACCCTCGAACTACTGAGGCTCCCGTGGCTCGACCCAGCCCGGAAGGGTACAAAGCCGCCATTACTGCAGTTAGAGACCGGAGAGCCATCACGAGTCTTCCGCCGGTGACAACTGGCTTTAAACATGACATCTCGACGACATCCGACCAGGTCTATGATGTCCAGCGGGAGAGCTTGGACAGGGACAAGGCGCTTTGTGCTGCTACGGGCGCATATCGACTCAGCAGGAAGAGGGCCGACTCCGCACCCAGCAAACCTACAATTGCTCGTGAAGCGCCTTATGCTGCTTCCGCGGCTGGCAGTGTGAAACCTACGCCGGAAGTGGAAGACCCACTTGCACATATTGACAACTCAATGGAAGCCAGCAGGATTCATCACATGGCTAATGCCAACGCGCAACTTTACACTGAGCACCCTCATATCGGTCTCGAGGAGCAAGGCCGAAAGGACGTGCTTCGAGCTGCTGCTATCTCGATGGCGCGCGATATGTACGATATTACGGAGAAGAGAGAGGAAGTACCGACTGGAGAGCCCAGCGCAGCCCTCTACGGTGCTCAGCGAGGCGTCAGCCGCATGCGCTCCCAGCGAGCCGTTCCCAAGTCCGATCCAGCGGCCCTTAAGCAGGCTATCAAAGTGCAAGAAGCAGCTCAACAGCGGGCTGCGGAGAAATTGGCTAAACTCAATGAACCAACTTATCAGGAATATTATGGAGTTGAACCGCATGTTCCGCGGCCCACCGTGTCTATCCGTCGCAGGAGGGCGTCATTCGACTCGGACACATCAGCTGCCGATGCCGAGCGATCAAGGGAGATCAGGCACCAGATGTCCAGCCTTCGATCGCGACTCGATGCTGTGGATGAACAAAGAACGAAAGACCGTGCCAGCTTGATGGAGGCCGCAAGGCGAAACGTCAATGCGACCATCCAAGATATGGAGATGCGTGTCTACCACGAAACTGGCCGGCCTCCGCCATCGATGCAGAAAGAATGGGAGGCGGCCGCACTTGAGCGGGCACAACGCGAGGCCCAGGAACAAGAGCCCTACAGACCATACGACAAAGTCAATATCGGCGCTGAAAGATACGTAGATATGGCCGACGTGGAGGCGGTCGCCCGTTCAAGGCTTCAGCCAACTTTCGATGAGATTACGGATCATGCCGAGAAGGAGAGGGCCAGGGAATTGGAGGCTCGTCTGGATGCCGAAGAAAGGGAGCGATATGAGGCTATTGCGCGTGAGCGGGAGCGTGAAACGAGGGCCGAGGAGAAACGCCAGCTAGGTATGTTGATCCCCTCGAATTCTTGACTTCAGACAAGCTCATACAGAGGCAGAGATTCAAAAGCGGCAGATGAAGGAGAAGACTACAGGAGAAAAGACATGGCTCTGGAGAAGGAAGTCGAAGCGAACGCAAGACACTGAACAAAAGCCTTCGGCTGAGGAAGAGACCGATTATCGCGGCCCCGGTGGAGTGGCACCTGCACCTGCACCTCATCCTGAAGCTGCACCTCAGCCCACCACACCTCCGGTTGAGGCTGCATCTCAGGTGGAAGCTGCCCCTGCGGCTGAAGCTCCTCAGGCCGAAGCTCCCCAGGCCGAGGTTCCCCAGGCCGAGGCTCCCCAGGCCGAAGCTACTCAGATTGAAGCTCCCCAGGCCGAAGCTCCTCAGGTCGAAGCCCCCAAGGCCGAAGCTCCCCAAGCGGAACCTGCTACGACTGAAGCCTCTACCCAAGCGGAGCCTGTCATTATCGACACTACACAACCCCAGCCTGCTGAAGATGAAGCGAAGATTGTCGCGCCAGGGACTGCCGGAGAGGAAGAACATCGGCTTGAGCGACGGGAATCCAGACTCAAAACTTGGTTCAAAGGCCGGGTGGGTCGCCGATCTAATGGTGCAGAACGTGAGTCTCCACGAGAGATAGAAGGTGAGGGAGCAAGAACTGCAAACACAGGGTTTGCTGGGGGTGCGGCGCTGGCGGGGACAGATTCACGCGGTGCGGCACTCGGATCTCATCCTGTCACAGGCAATGATCTTTCCACGATGCAGCAGAGAATGTCTGTTGACGAAGGCAGTCTAGGGAACGACGCCACGCGGCGTGGCTCAAGCGGCATAGCTGAGCAGAATGGTGAGAACAGGAAGCCATCACGCCTGAGATCCAGCTTCATGAAGATTGTGTCTGGCGGTTCCCAGGATAACAAGACTAACGGTGTATCAAAGCCGAGTGATGATCGTCGGACCGCTTTAGAACCTGCAGAAGAGAGTGGCGTTCACAACGCTGAAGGCTCAAGCGCATCCACAGCCACAAAGGAAGAGCTGCGAGAGAGCGCCACTGATCATGGACTACCTGTGCCCCCAGCTATTGGCAAGCATGCCACCAACGGTAGCCGAGAGTCGCGGTTCTCCGAAGACTTGTGATGCGATCTGCCATTGCGCACTGTTATGTAACATCGTTGCCTTTCTGTATCTGTATTGGCCGAGCTTTATGTCTTTCCTTTCTATACCTCGTGTCTTCCCCTTTGGAGTTCTATTGGAATGAATGTTTTGCGGCGTCGTGGTTTGTGGTTATTGGGGCGGAAAATTTGGTGACTAATTGGGATTCAACGGTTCTGGCGCAATCTGTTCTAGTGACTTTAGTTATTGGTACATATGTCGTGAAATTTTAATCACATTCTGTTACATAAGTGACGTTTTCTGCAGGAGTTTGAAGAAATTGAGAACCGTCGAAGCTCAAGGCGAGATCAGAATCATTCTATCACCTTTTTTTTCGTTGGAAACGGCTTTAGTTCATTCAACCTTCGGCTTGAATCGAGACGAATAGATAAGAGATATACCGAATGAAAAACAGCAGTTCAACTCATTTCGTGAGGTCTCCTATTGTCCAAATGTCTCATTCCCCCACAATTTCTCTCCGAGACTTCTTCTTCCCCCCGCATTTCATAGATTAAATCCTACCCAAGACAACCATCACCACCAATCGCACTCGTCCATCGAGCTTCCCCTGCTTTCGTCGGGGAAAAGGAGCATGCATGCTTCTTAGCTGCATCTAGTCGTCTATTGCTCAATCACGAACATCCACCAATCCCTACGCAGCACCGGAGTAACACTGTCGCGAAAACCCGAACATGGTCGTCGCGTCATTCAGTCAATGCGACCTTTTTATTGTCGCGGATCCTGTCGCACATTTTACAGCTATGGACAAGGATAGTCGTCTGGTCAAGGCACAATTGGCGAGGCGAATATGCGAGTCTTTAGCTTCCTGTTTCTGCTCCTCCTGGGGATCCTGACGGGCGAGGGTTTGGTGTCAGGAACAGATAATGGCAAGACTACCGACGTGACATGGGACAAGTACAGTCTGTCCGTCAAGGGGCAGCGATTGTTTGTCTTTTCGGGTGAATTTCACTACCAGAGACTTCCTGTGCCGGAGCTGTGGTTGGATGTCTTTCAGAAATTGCGGGCCAATGGGTTCAATGCCATCTCAGGTATGATCATGTCTTATCCTGCATTATCCTTGGGTGAGTCCGACAGGGTACTAAAGGGCGGGGGTTAGTGTACTTCTTTTGGAGCTTCCACAGCGCCTCGGAGGGCGAATACGACTTTGAGACTGGAGCCCATGACATCCAGCGGTTGTTCGACTACGCCAAAGAAGCGGGTTTGTATGTGATTGCAAGAGCCGGCCCGTACTGCAACGCAGAAACCTCCGC